ACTTCAGCTCCAGGACACACTGGTCAAATCACATTGGGCTTTCATATGCTAATTACCAAACACTGGGCTGCACAGGACTGAGCACACCATACCACAAATCTGCTGGTCTTTGAGGCATTTCCAGCTTGCTAGAAGACACTCCTGGGCAGAACTTGCCCAGGCAGCTTGGAGAGTCCCTTCAGGCATCACCCATTGCCCTCAGGGCATATGGAAAGAGGACCAGAACCAGAGGAAAGCAAGTCCTTGGGACAGGGAATGGAGAAGCATATGGCTCACCCCAACTTGGCCAGTGTGCTTGGAAAGGGAAGCTAAGAGGCAGTTCATTCCCAGGACACAAGAATAGCCCCATGTGAAATGGGGGTGGTGGGGTCTCCTTGGGGATGGTGGGACCCTAACCCAGCCCTGTAGGGTGCCACCATGCTCCTGGCAATCCAACCACCCCTTTCTTTGCCATGTGCCTAAGGACAGCCCTTGCATGGTGGGTTTATTGAGCCTGACAAGCCAGCTGGGACACCAGATAATCTCTGCCTTGTTGGGGACAGTCTCCCAGCAGGGTCAGGCATGCTTGCCACAGAGGAGTGGAAAATTCCTCTCACTGTGCTGGCACTTACTACAGCCCAAGCACATCAGCTGTCATCCTGCAGGACTTGGCATGCCCTGGAGTGTTTATCAACACCATTTCGCAAGAGCCATGGCATACAGCCTGGCAGGGGCACGCAAGCTGCTTGGGCAACCTGCTCTGCTGAAAGCCTGTGGTCTTGGGAAACACTCCAGGCTGGGAGTCCGGTGTGGATTGATGTCATCTGAGTGGCCATCAGCAACTTCTCTTTTCTGGCCCCCTGAGTTCAAGGACGGAGCTGTGAGCTTTGGTCTTGGCCCTCTCTCAGTCCTGCAGAATCCTTCCCTTGGTCTCACCTGGCAAGGTTGTAAATGACCTCAACATGCTGGTTCCCCACTCACCCAGGGCATGCTCCTCCATCCTCACAGGGTATATGGCTTGGGGAGGGAGGTACTCCACTCCCTCCAAGGGGTTTGGAGGTATCAGCTGGAGCAACAGAGTAATTGTGGTGGCAGCACATCTGGCTGAGGGCTGCCCTCCAGGCATAGCCAGTGGCTACATGATGCCTGAGAGATGACACAGCAGGGCCAGCCGATCCCCAGTTAACTCCAAATATGCAGAACTGACACAATCCCCTCAGTCAGGGAAGAAAGCAGGCACACCCTGGACGACACTGGCTAAACAGGCAGGGGACATGGAGTTGCAATCAGGCGTAGGAGCCCTCTGGTTGCCCCAGGCAAGGCTGGCTATGTGCACCCAAGTCCTTGGTGCTGTGCGTGGCCATCATCAGTGGGTGCAGCAGCTGGATGTCAAGAAGACATAGTGTCAGAGTGTTCTGCTCCACTGGAGGCTCTGTAGAGCCCAGGAAATGTCTTAGCTGCTCTTGCAATTTCAAGATGTACCCCAAAACCCTGCTTTAAGTGGGAAATGGGTGGTGGGTTTGTGAGGTGGGTGTCACTCCCTCAGGGTAAAGAAGCAAGGCATGTCCCCGCCCAGCCTTTGCAAAGGTGCAGCAGCTCCACTTGGCACCAAGGGGATGCGGGGCACAGCCTTTCCCAGCATACAAGGTCTCTCCAATGGAACTGGAGGTGCAGGGACCGGGGACAGACGGGGTGTTCCTGAGGTGGGGACTATGCCAGGAAGGCCAGCTGGCTCCTGAAGCATCGCACAGACCCTGCCCCAATTCCAGTGCAGTTGGAGCAGCAGCAGCAAACAGGCTTCGTGCAGCCGCCAAGATGTTTGCTGGAGCAGAGGCACGCATAAACATTTTGTTTAATCAAGGACTCGGAGTGAACACAGTGTACCCTGGCTCGGTGCAGAGGGAACAGCTGCGGCCCTGCGGGGCAGGGCCAGGGACGCCGATCGGCGGTGGCAGAGCGACCTCCCGTGGCACGGTCCCGACCCCGGGGTGCTCAGCACCGTCGCTGCGATGGCAGCAGAAGGAAGCCCTGTGACACCCGTGCCCCAGCACCCTGCTCTGCGGGGAGGCTGTGCCCCGGCTGCAGGCGGTTCTGGCCGCTTCCAGGGCAGTGTGTCTGGCAGCTGTGCGGTGCAAGGCTTGCTTCGGCTCAGTCCCACTGCAGCTGTGTCGGAACCGAGGGCAAGCTAGAAGAGCCCCGAGCTGCCCTGCCCGTGGGTCTGTGGGTGGTGATCTCATGGCACTATTGTATCAAGAGAGCCCAAGACCCTGGCAGTGCCGGCTGCTGTGTTCTCACACAGGCAGGATGGGATTGCTCCCGAGCCCTCCTCCCCTTCTGGGGATGAGGTGTTTGGGCTGGAGCCCTCCTGTGCCCCACCAGGCCCCCTGCTCAGCGAGAGCAAGAGAGGAGTGAGGTCAGAGCTCTTTATCTGCAAGCTCCGAGTGAGCAGCACGGGCACCCAACATCTGCTGATGGATCCTGGGCCAGCACGCAAGAAGACAGCTGATGGAAATGCAGAGCACAGAATCTCCCCGTGGTGGATCTGGCTAAGGGCAGCCTTGGAAGAACTGCCATCAAATTCTAGAGTTTTTTGGATTTTTTTTTTAATTTATTTTTTTGGTGTTTTTGTTGGTTTGGGGTTCCCCGCCCCCCCTGCTAGGAATTAAGCGTCTGAGTTGCTGTGTTTAAACCTCAACCTTTAAACATCCCTTCCCACTTCCCCCATGTGCTGCACAAACCCCAGGTTGCTTTGGAAGCATTATTTTAAGGATAAGATTTAAAGGACTCATTTCACAAAGGATTGTGCTATCAGGTTCTTCTTCTTCTTTTAATTTCCAAAAAGGTATTTTTTGTGCCTTGGGGACTAGACCGAGAAGAGCTTTGGAGAACACCATGAAGGCAGCCAGACTGTGGTATTGCCAATCAGCGCACACCTCTTCTTCCCACCAGCATCCCACTCAGCTGCCAAAGCCTGTTCCATGGCTTCCCAGGCAATTAGTGGTTGCAACACACATCCACACAGCCAGCAGAACCACTACAGATTTCCATGTGTCCCTGGTAACTTGTGGTTTTTTAAGCCTTTGGTAGTAATGAAATGACTGAGGATAAAGTATAAACTCCCGAGTGCAAGACCTGGAAACATGTTTTTCTTCTAAGCAGCTGGTGTCCCTTGATGGGACAGGTCTGAATGGGTGAGCTTCACTCTGTATGTCATGCCCCCATGCTCTTGGCAATCAGACTAGGATTAACTGGCTTCTTAGTGTGCATCCAGGGTGGTGTTTGCTTGGTTGGCTGGTTATGGTAACTGATAAACAGTCCAAATCACTTCAGCCTTAGGTTTCCAGACCTTACTGCTTTATTTCTAGAGCACTTTGTATCCTATTTTTCCATTTTTCATGGAAACAAAGCTCCACTGGGCTATCATGAGCTCTGGCAGCCATTCTTTTTCCTCAGCTCCCAGGAAACTCCTCACCTTGACCTAATGGAGGAGCAGCCTGAGCTGCTATCTGGGACAGCACTGGTGTGCAACGGGAAGAGCAGGGGCAAGGGGAGCTGGCAGAGAGCAGTGCAGCAGCTGATCCAGTGTGAATTCCAAAGCTCTGTTCTTGAAATGTTAAAAGACAAAGATTAAGGAAGACACTTTCTATGGCAAAGAAAGACACTCTCCATGCCAGAGCTTAGGGAAGGTTTCTGCAGAACAGCAACAGAAGCAGAGACCCAGGACAGAAATATTTTGGTTTGTACCCCTCTCTGCCAACATTTGGGCAGGATTTGAAGGGGGGGAACCAGCAAATCAACTAAGAGTTTGAGGAAAAAAACTGACAAAAGCATTGCTGAGATTACATTTAGGAGGGTAATTTAGAGGAGTTTTACTATTTTAGCTCTGGAAAACAGGAGACACCTGACTCTCTCCTCTCCTCTCCTCTCCTCTCCTCTCCTCTCCTCTAAAGGAAGTATCCTTGATAAGATTGTGAAAGAAGAACTATTATCAAGATGACTTTGATGTCAGCTTAGGTTTTAGGGGACAGAGGTCGGCCGATGACCTTCTAGGGCGTGTGTGCTGCAGATTGTTCTATAAATGCTGATATGTTGACTGCGATCATAAAAGATACAAGAAATGTATCCATTTGTAGCCTTGCTTTGTGCTGGTAATTCAATTGCCAACTGTGTGGAAGAGAAGAGATGCAGTAAGGCCTGCTCACATGCTGCTTAAATCCTTGCTTCAAAAGACAGTATTTTTTTCCCCAGCATTACCAATTATTTTGCCCTGAGGGCTGAGGATTATACAGTCCTGTTCCTGTTTCCATAATCAAGCACCTGAGCACCTCAGAGCATGTTTAAAGCCAAGTGTGATAATAGCTGTATTTTATAAGGGAAAAGCTTAAGATGAGGTGAGGTGTTTATAACGCAAAAGACCAATTTGACATCAACCTTAAACTGATAGTTCTTAATGTCCCGTAGTTACCTTAGGCGCCCAATAGAGTTTGTGTGCACAGTGTGACCCAGAGGACAGGCTTTTACATGGGGACGGGCAACCTCTGCCGGAAAGGGAAGCGTCTCCTCCGCGGTGCAGCCCGGGACGTTCCGCAGGCAGCTCAGGGGCACGGCGGCTGCGGGCTCAGCCCAGCGCCCCGGGCTGTCCCGCACCTGTCCGGGAGAGGCTGTCAGGGCAGCGCCGGCCCGCCCGCCTTTCGCAAAGCCGCACACGCCGCGCGTCGGGAGCGCCGCTGCCGCCTCACGGCAGCACGGCTCGCCTGCCGTGTGCGCCCCGGAGCCGCGGCCTTTGTCCCGAGCAGAGGAGCGGGCCGGAGCTCCCCGCAGCGGGACAGAGGGTGGGCGAGGCCGCCCTGCTCCCCGCCCCCCGGGCGTCGCTGCGTTCCCGGGCGGTCCGGGCCGATGCGGCCCCTGGGCCGGCGGCACCGGCACCGGCACCGGGACGGGCCGCGGCGGGACGGTCGCCACGGCAACGCGGGCGATGCGTCGCCCTGACGTCACTTCCGCGCGAAGAGGGGCGGGGCGGCGCGCGCAGAGCCGTCATGGCGCTGTCGCGCGCGGAGCGCTGTCTCGCGCTGCTGCTGCGGCTGCTGTCGCGCGCCTGCCTCGCGCTGCTGGCGCTGCTGCCGCCGCCGCCGCGGGTGTGCCGCTCTCCGCGCGGCAGGTACCACCCGCGCCCCGGGGAGGGGGAGCGGGGACCCCGCGCCGCGGTGCATCCGCGGCTGACGGCAGCGCCCGCTGTGCCCCGTGCCCAGGTGGCGTGCATAGAGGTGGTGGAGGCGTACGTGGAGAGGATCAAGGAGGTGAACCCCCTCATCAATGCCGTGGTTAAGGACAGGTGAGCTGGAGGCAGCGGGCACGCTCGAGGAGGGGGTGGCTCCCCGCCTGCCTCTCCTCGGGCCCGGCGCTCTCCGCGCCGCCGCCGCCGCAGCAGCGCCGTGCCGAGCGGCCGGGATGCCGCTCCCGGCTCCGGCAAAGACCAGGCAGCCTCACTTCCCCCACGAGCTCCTGCCGCACTTGGGGGCCACCCGCCCTGCGGGGACCCCGCTCCTCTCTGATCCAGCGCCAGAACGCCGCCGGGTGCTTTGTTGCAGGTTTGAGGAGGCCCTGCAGGAAGCCCGGCAGGTCGATAAGCTGCTTTCGGAGGGTCCTGCCGATGACTGCCTGGAGGAGAAGTTCCCCTTGTTGGGAGTTCCCATCACCGTTAAGGAGGCCTTTTCTCTCTATGGTGGGTTTATCTTTGTGCCTCTCCAGGTCTTGATGTGCTCCCCAGAGTGGTGGGTGGCTGTGGCAGGTGCTTGGAGGGAAGTAGTCTCCCTTTTCCTGGCTTGCACCAAGCTCTGCCTTGGCTTCTGCGTTTCTGTTCATTTGTAGCACGCAGGTGCTACAGAGCTTGTGGTGCCTCAGAGGAGCAGCCCTCACTGGGAACCTGCTTCCTGCACCTCTGGGTTGTCTCGGGGCACTGGCCCTGATGCCTCCCTCCTGTTGACCTTGGCACCACAGGGATGCCCAACACCTCTGGCTTGGTCAACCGCCGCAACGTGATCGCCACCTTGGATGCCACTGTGGTGTCACGGCTGAAGCAGGCAGGTGCCATCCCGCTGGGTGTCACCAACTGCAGCGAGCTCTGCATGTGGTACGAGTCCAGCAACAAGGTCTACGGGAGGACCAACAACCCCTACGACCTACAGAGGACTGTGGGCGGCAGCTCAGGTGAACCCCAGCACCTCAGCAGGGTCCTGCACGAGTGGCAGGTTAAAATGCAGCGAGGGAAGAGTTCCAAGTCTCTGCATACAGCTACTAACGTGTCCCTGGGCTCTTGTGGAGCTTACGGGCCTCTTTCCTGGGCACTGCTGTAGGCTGTTGGGAGGTCTAGCTGCTTTGCCTCTTCTGGGTGTTTCATCTGGCATTGCTTCAGCCTGCTCTGTTGTATTTTGGCAGGAAAATCCCTTTGGCCTGCATTCCCCAGCTATCCCCTACCCATCACTAAAGCCAAGGTGTCCCCAACCCCTCTTGCTTTTTAGGCCCCCACCCTCCCTGTGAGGTGTTCCTGCTTTCCTGGATGATTTGCACCCTAAATCTGTGGGTTTTTGCCATGTTTTCTCCTGTGCAGGTGGGGAGGGCAGTGTCCTGGCAGCCGCCTGCTCAGTGGTGGGTGTGGGCTCTGACATCGGCGGCAGCATCCGAATGCCCGCCTTCTTCAATGGAGTCTTTGGCCATAAACCCACAACAGGTAAGGTGGGTGCTGCGGTCTCGTCCTCTTCCCCACCAGCAGAAATGCCATGAGGGGGAATGGGGGCTGTGGGATGAACCCCTTCCGGGCACCCCTAGGCTGGTCGCCGGTGGGATTGCTGTAAGGAGTCAGGGACCTCTTGCATGGGACAAGCCTGTTGAGGAACCACGGCTGGGGTTGGCAGTTGGGAAGCTTTTGGTGGTACAATGCCAGGCACATGGGAGACAGGCAGGGGTTTACTCAAGTATTGCATCCTCAGCATGGGATGTTTTCACAAGGTTGGGATCTGCTGGGATGTTTCTCTGTCTTTCAGTGTCCTGAATGGGTGCTTTTCCTCCCATCCCCACCCCATGAACCTTGCCATCAGCACTTGTGGGGTGTACAGTCTCTGGGGAACCATGTCTCCCTGCACCCAAAGACCCCCCCAGCAGGGCTGTCCCCATCTGGAGGCAATACTTGGGGTGGTATCTGACTTCTCTGCTCTCAGGGGTGGTGCCCAATGACGGCCAGTTCCCAAACGCTCACGGGGTGCGGACCAGCTACCTGTGCACGGGGCCCATGTGTCGCTACGCAGAGGACCTGGAGCCTGTGCTGAGAGTCATGGCTGGTCCTGGGGTCAGCAAGTGAGTTGTTCCCACTGCTCCAAGCTGCTGAGCTGGAGTCGCAGCTCTCTGGTCGTGACAATGTGTTAGACAGGTCTGCACCCTACCCAGTTTACTTGTTACTGATTTCCTTCCTCTGCTGCCGGCTTCAGCAGGAGCTTGGCTGCTGGGACTGCCCTTCCCACCACCCTTGTGCTCCCAGGAACTGGCAGCCATGGGCAGACTGATCGGTCCCCCTTCACCAGTGAGCTGCTTCCCAGCTCTGTCCCACACACCCCTCCCAGGGCTGACCTTGCTCCTGGGTATTACAGCACTTTTTTTTCCTACTGTTAAATAAGGAGTTTTCCATCCCCACACCATGGCCAGTTCAGTTCCTTCATTTCTTGCTCCGTGCAATCAAGTGCAACCATGCTGCATGCCAGTGAGGGGCAGAGTGGAGATGGGGCAGCCCTTTTTTTTTGCCACAGCCTACACACAGTTGCTCTCTCCATTACCACTCCACTTTTTCCTGGGCTCTTGTGCAATCCCAGCCTTGGCTGCAGCCAGAGTTTGTAGTCACAAGGTGCTTCTGGAGAAATGAGAACTTTCCCAACAGAAACTTGATGGGTCTGAGGGGGCAGGTGATGCATTGTGGGCAGCAGGTGTCTGTGACTTCAGGGTCTCACCTTACCATCCTGAGGGACAGAGCAGGATCTCTTGAGGACACATAGGAAGTGTGTGAGAACCTCTATAGCTGCAGAGGCGCTGGGGATGGATTTGTGACAAAGCACCATTCGTTTCCCAGGCTGAAACTGAATGAGAAGGTGTCGCTGGAGCAAATCAAATTCCACTGCATGGATCATGATGGTGGGTCCGTTTTTGTATCACCTGTGGACAAGGAGATCTTGCAGGCCCAAAAGAAGGTAGGAAGCAGCAGAGGATGGTACTAACTGGGGTAAGCCTGAAGATAGAACCTGGGGAGACTAGACAAAGGAGCCCTGGGAAGGGGAAAGAGTTGCTTTATGTGTGGCTCCTGCAGGAGCTGATGAAATGAAGGGCTGGGCAGGCAGCCTTGCATCCCAGTCCTGTGCTTTCAGGGGTTAAAAAGTAGAAAGAACTTCTTCAGGGCTAAAGAAGACACAAGGGGAAGATCTCGCGAGCAGGTCCCCTTACTCTCTTCTCTGTAGTTTCCACGGGCTGATGGCAGGCACCAGATCTTTGTGGAAACAAACCCATCCTTGCTCTTCCTTTCAGGTGGTGGAGCACCTCGAAAGTGACCTCGGGGTCCGGGTTCAGCATGTGGCAATCCACAAGATGAAGTATTCTTTCCAGATCTGGTCAGCCATGATGTCATCCAAGGACAGTGAGGGGCAGGTATGTTAGAGTGAGTTGGCAAAGGCACAACTTTGGTGGCATCAGGGAAGAAACAGCTGTTCAGGGCCAGCTGTGGAGAGTTGTAGGCTTCCCAAACCTACCCAGGGGCTTTCCCTGCTCCATGTGCCCCCCCAGTCCTCCTTTCACCTCTTCCTAACACAACACCTTCTCCCTTGCTGACCTGTGCGTTGAGGCCCTGGCTCTCAGTGGAGGAGCAATGTGGTAATTGGGGTGGGGGGGAGGTTGTTTTGGTACATTGACCTTTTCCATGCAGGTTGGTAAGTCAGCCAAGCAGGGGGCATCCTGCCTTGCTCTTTGCCCCATGCTGTGTCTTCTGACTTGTAGGCTTGGATTAACACCCTTCGGGATGCCAGGACAGGCAGGGGACTAGCAGCTTTCCAGCAGGAGACCTGCTTGTGTAATTTTTCCCTGGAATTGCAGCTGCTGTGCTATGCTCTGTGCATGCAGAAAAGTGCTTTGTAATAAAATAAACTTCTGGGAGTGTCATAACTTGTGCGTTCCTGGCACAGAGGCAGTGATGAAACAGCCCAGCCCCACCACACCAACGAGGGCTTGTCTGGCTCCTCTGCCTCCTTCTTCCAGGTCCCATTGTCATATCACAGAAGGAAGTGCCTCTGGGACATTATCCCTTGCGTTGTGTCAGTTGGGTGCTGCTTTGGGGGGTTCTCCCTTCTCCTTGCTTTCTCTGGTAGGGAGAAATGCTCCTGCTGCTGCCCTGGATCAGTGTCAGAGCTGTGGAGCTCCTGATGGGCATCTCCTGTGTGAAAGTGGGAACACCTCACATTGGCATAATAGGATAACCAGAATTTCCCTGGCCATTGCCAGCCTGTGCTTCCCTGCTGCATGTTGGCTTTGCTGACAGGGGGAGTGGGTATGTTACAGGAGGCACAAAGATTCACGGACCTGCTGGGGGACCATGGGAAGCCAGTGTGGCCGCTGTGGGAGCTGATGAAGTGGCTCGTGGGGCTGTCTTCTCACACTCTCCCAGCTATCGGTAATGCTGGCAGGGGCCCTGGGAAGTGCAGAGGCAGTGGTGGGGTGGGCAAGTTGTTAAATGCAGGTGTTACCCTTCCAATGCCCAGTGGAGCAACTCGGGGTTTGCCCTGAACAGCTTCAGCCTAGTTTGGCAAAGACACTCTGTGTCTTTGAGTTGCATGCCAGCTCAAGAGTGTGGGTCTTTGATAAATGGGAGTGGGTACCTTGGGGGAAGAAGTGAGGATGATGGAGCTGGGGGCAGGGTTCACTTTTGCTGTGAGCCACACCAGAATTGCTAGGGACTCAGAGAGCTCAGTCAGGGTCTGCACCAATCTTGTTTCCTAGCAGCAGGTACTAGAGGAACCCTAATTAGTGCAGTGGTGCTGCTGTCTAATGAGTGCTGAGGTCATTATGCCAGCTCTGCTCAACCCCACTGGCTGGAAAAGCTGGAAGGAAAGGGCAGGTTGAATGCTTGTCCCTTGGCAGAGCTGGGGGAATGCTGCCCACAGGGTTGTGCTAGGGGCAATCTGCTGTGGCTACTGGCAGGAAGGGGTACTTGGGGGGCCACCCCAGAAGCAGGGGATGTTGCATGTGGCTGGGCATTGTGATTTTGCCCCACGTAGCCCACAGTCCTCTCATACGCTCTTGTCCCCATTTCTGCCCTTTGCTGCAGCCCTGGGACTGACAGAGAAGCTGGTGAACCTCAACCTCAGTGGGAAGGCCAAGCTGGTGAGCATGGGGAAGAGCCTACAGGAGGAGATGGAGGCACTGCTGGGGCCGGATGGGGTGCTCCTCTACCCCTCACACCCCACCATCGCCCCCAAGCACCACTCGCCCATCTGCATGCCCTTCAATTTTGCCTACACAGGTGAGCAGCCCTGGCTCCTGTGGAGTTGCAGCTAGGGCTAACAAAATTATCTCCCTGTGGCAGCAGTGTGGGCTGGCAGCTGGGGTTTTCCAGAGTGTTTGCATTGCTGATGGTGGGCTGTGCAGCAGAGAGGTGTCTTGTTGCTCCAGAGAGTGGAGTGAGGGTTGTTGTGCTTCATACTGTGTGGCATCTTTTACCTTTTGCCAAAGGTGCCTGCCTACAGCAGGGAAGGTGTGACTTTGTGGGTGGTGTTGGGGTTTAGCAGGAACCTGAGATCTGCCATCTCTTGGGGTACAGCCTGGGGCCCCTTATGTGGTCTGAGCACCTCAGTGCCAGTGTCAGTACTGCTTTGTGGAGTGATGGAAGACTGGTGCCTGGCACAGGAATGTCCCAAATTTGGCATGCCACGGTGTGTGCCATCCCTCGTGGATGCTGTTTACACACATGATGTGGGCACTGGGAATCTCTGGCCAGTGATGTCCTTTGTCACCATGTCTCTGCACTGCTGCATGAAGCACCAGCTCCCAGGATCTTGGTGCTGTGTATGACAGAGCTGCCTGCCCAGGGTGGAAGAGATGGGCAGTGATGTATCCCAGTTGTTGTGCTCACTCTGATCTATCCAACCTTCTCTCTTGCAGCCATCTTCAATGTCCTGGGCCTGCCGGTGACACAGTGCCCACTGGGGCTGGGCAGCGAGGGGCTGCCGCTGGGCATCCAGCTGGTGGCAGCCTCCTACAATGACCACTTGACGCTGGCAGTGGCTCGGTACCTCGAGAAAGCCTTTGGAGGATGGGTTTTGCCAGGGGAAGGTTAACCTTGGGAGGCAGGGACAGAGGCAGTGACAAGTGCTGATGCTTGATCCCATCACAGCACTGTCTGCTCCCTCTGCATCCCCCTGCACCCTGCTGGGAGTGGCTGGTGGTGCCTCCAGCGCGGGAACAGCTGGACCATTGCACTGGAGTCCTCATCCCTGTGGCACCCTCTGTCAGGGAGAGACCTGCCTTTCCCGAGTGCCTCAGGAGCCCCAGTGCTACAGTCTGAGGATGCCCTGTCTGCATCCTGTCTGCAGTGGGCACCCACCCACCTTTTCCGGGCCGTGGAGTTGGCCAGCTCTGTAACCCTTCTGCTTTCAAAGTGCTGAGTGAGAGTTGGGCAGAGGACGTGCTTCCAGATTACTGGGGGCAGCAGTGCAGCATCCTTCAGTGCTGCCTGGGCCCATGGGGGTCTGCCTTGGCCTGACCCTGCCCACAGGGCTGGACTGTGCCTGCTGCACCCAGGCTTGCTAGCCCCCAGAGTCCTCCCAAGCTCCTGCAGGCTTCCCCCCACCCTCTGACCAAAAAGGGAGAGGGGTTGAGGGGGCTGGAGGAGCCATAGGCCTGCCTCACCAACAGCGCTTTGTGGGGTGGTGGGTGCTGGGCTCTGCAGTGTGTGCAGCTGTCAGGCACAGCTGGGAGCATTTCAGCACTTGTATTCAGCAAGATATTAAAGAGCCTGTCCAGTCTACTATGGCTGTGTGTCCTTTTCCTCATGGCTGTCTCCCTTCCAGCTCCTGCCAGACCCCAGCCCCATCTCTACCAGAGAGGTGTCAGAGCTAACCAGCACTGCTGGCCATAGAAGTGGTGCAGGGACAACAGTGGAGGTGCTGGCATTGGCCCCTGGGGTGCCACTTGGCCACTCTAGGGCTCTGGTTTTGGAATGCCCAGGACAACAGTGGCTGCCGGGCCCTGGGCAGAGCTGAATGGTGCTTATGAGCTCCACAGTGCTGCCGTCAATGGCTGTGTTGGTCTTGCAATGGTTGCACAGTTCTTGGGAAGCACAAGTCCAGCTGTGTTTTGTCCCAGTGGGCTGCTGGAGGCATGGCACTCTTGAGGTGGTGCAGAGCCATGTGCAGGTCCCTCATGGTCTCCAGGGCAAAATGAGGGCCCCCAGCCCTGTGTGCCCAGCCTGCAGCATTAGTCTTGGCAAGGATAAAACCTGCTACTGGTTTTGCTGGGATGTCCTGGCCTTTGTCTGCCCTGCCATGTGCCACCCCTGGCCCGCACCCTTGCTCCTTTTTGTCCCAACGCCACTGATGGTCCATGCAGGGGTAGTGCAGGATGCTGGGATGGGGTGCTGGGACAGGCTGTGCCTCAGCTCTGGTGTGCAGAGGGCACTGCTGAGCACCCGTGCCCAGCTGGGACGTTGCTAACAAGGAAGCAAGGAAGGAAAAAAAAGCCCTGGCTCAGCAAAGGAGGTACAAACCACCCAAGTCAAATCACATCTCCCAGCGTGGTGGCACAGACAACAAGGACTGTCCCCCATCTGGAGGAATCCTGGCAGCTGAGCAGACCGTGGTAACGCTTCCAGTGAACACTCTGAGCCAAACGTGAGGTTGCTGAGCTGAGGGTGTTGTGTTTAACAGTGTGGTTGGTGAGGTGGGTTTCTGATATGGCAGAGGGGCAGAGAGGAAATGCTGGCTCAAAGTTGGGGGGGGTGCTGGTGCTTCAGGGTAGTGTGATGGGGATCCAGACAAAGGAGAGGGTGTGCAGAGCAGAGGGGGTTAATCCCCACAATCTCAGTTATTGCCACAACACTGGAATTTTTTCCTCTGGCCATGGCAGAAAGGGGAACGGGTGTGCTGGGGTTCAGAGGGGGGCTGGCAGGGGCTGGCCTGCAGTTGCCCTCGCTGCTTCAGGGAAGCATTGCCTCCCTTGTGCTGCCTTCTGCAGGGAGAGCAGCCCTGTCCCTGCCTGCACAGGCAGCCAGTCCTGTGGTCTCCATCAGTTTCCCAGCTCCTAAGCCCCAGGAACAATCCTGGAGGCTCTTTCTCCCTCCAGGCAGAAATCATGCCTCCTTCAATGGGCTCTGTTGCAAAGCCAGGAGGGTTCTTGCTGGTCTCAGGATGAGGGGAATCGCTAGGCTGACTGCTTGTGCTTCAGCTCTGGTGTTTCAGAGGTCTTACCTAAGTCCACACCCACAGTTTGCAGCTGCGTGTCCCTGCTTGTTGACTGTTCCTCCTTGTTTCAAGCTCTTAATGCTGCAAGGGACAGAGAAAACATGGGGGCAATGTTTTGTACTCACCTGCTGAGGTGGTTGTGCTTGTAACAGTGCAAAGTCAGTGTGAAATGGGAAGAATGAGAAGCAGTGACAGTGGTGAGCCAGCCCTACTGGTGTCCCATCTGGTCAGGGGTTCTTCCACCCCTCTGCCTCTGGAGGTGGCCCTGGGCTCCCTACCTTCATGGTGGAATGTGTCCCCACAACCACAAGGTTGGTGTTGGTAGCCTCAATGTCTGCTCCAGGAGAGGAAGGTTACCTCCATGACTGGCAAGAGCAGGAAAAGATTCCTGGTGACTGAATGGTGGGGCAAGGCAAAGGTAAGAAGGGACTGGCCAGGTGCTGGTGCCCAGCCAGACTAGCTTGTGCTGTGGTTCAGTCTGAGATCTCTGCTTCCAGCCCAAGAGGGTCCCTCATTGTGCCCCATTTTACCTTGTGGGTGACATCACACACGGTGCCCTCCCCGTACCAGCGAGGCTGTGGGATGGCTGGGGGTGTCCTGGCAGTGGTGTCACAGGATTTGCCAGTGTGAGTCATGCCCAGAGCTGGGCTGAGTCACCTCCCCAGTGGTGTGAGTATCAGGTGAGGAGCTTTCTCAGAGCCACATCCTGGTGACAAAGGGAGTGTGGATTCTCACCACGGGGTGCCAGAGGTGGGTGCAACAGAAGGTTGCTGCAGCATCTGCATAGTGCCATAGCAGTGTGGCAGCTGCCCACTGTCCCTGTAGGTCCACTTACCACCACAGCCCTGAGGGTACCTGCCCTGCTGCACCCCCCAGGGTGCAGCAGAAGGTCCCCTCCATAGTGGACACCTCTGTGCCACAATAGGCATGTGGACTCCATGGCGCAGTGTCACTGGCTGAAGCTTCTGTTTTTAATCCCAGGTCCCAGCAGCCCATCATGTCCGTGGGTAGCAGAACAGCTCCAGCACACCCATCCCTTTCCATGGCCCCCAGCATGGCTGCATAGTGCTGGGGCAGATGGATGGGCTGTGGGAGGATGAGCCCTGCCCTGCTCCTGCTGCTGTTCCTGGCCAGCTGCTCCCTGCTCCAAGGTAAGCCAGTGCTGAAGCTGTCACCACAGTCTGGGGGGGGACCCTGGCTGCAGGGCAGAGAAGGCACAGGGACGCCTCTCAGACCTCCTGAAGGTACCTGTGAAGAGGAGAGGCCCAAGTGGTCATCAAGGAATGATGAGAAAGAAAACCCCGGGTCAGCAGCAGCTGTGTCAGGTCTCTCCGACTTTGTCAGCTGTGTCTCTGCTTTAGCAGAAGCATGGAGAGGGTGTTTTCAGTGTGCAACAGACTGGGAGGATACAGGTGCTGAGCGCCTGCTTTGAAGTCAGTGTTTGCCCACTGGGACAAAGCTGGTGAACCTGTGCACCAGGCCACAAGGGGACCCTGCAGGACGCTGCCTCATACCCCTCTGCTCCCTCCCCAGGGATGATACCAAGGCCACGGCGCGTCAGGCTGGAGGCACGGAACTTCCATGTCTGGCTGCGTTGGGAGCCACACCCCAGCTCACCCAGCTCTGCCACTTACGAGGTGGAGTGGAGGAACAGGTAGGTGGGGGTGAAGGGGTCTGGTCCTCTTACACCATGGCAGAGGCTGTTGGGGACCCCTGGCAGCCAGAGGACTGTTGTCTGGCAGTAAATGCCACAGAGTAACAGAGCAGTGGAGTTGGCAGGGATTGGCTTGTCCTACCCCTGCACATGCAAGGTCAGCTCAGGACTGTGTCCTGGTGGGTTTTGAACAACTTCAGGACAACATCCCTTGACAGCTTGGTCCCTTTCCTGGTCACTCTCCCAGTAACAAACTAAGGGGTTGCTTTTGGACTGCGGTTTTGGATTTGTTTTTTTTTCCCACTATGCTAAATGGGATTTCCTGTATTTCAACTTGTGTCCATTGCCTCTTGCCCTTTTGCTGGGCACCACTGAGAGGAAGGCTCTATCTTTGTCTCGTGTTGGTAAGATCCCCCCACCCAAAGTCACCTTTCTCTGACGCTCAAGCTGTCACCACTCGCTCAGTTTCCCTCGTACCACAGAGACTCAACAGCCTCATCTCCTTGGTGGGTTCTCCCTGCCACGGCTGTGTGTTTCCTCATTGTGGAGAGCACAGGTCAGAGCACAGTTCCAGATGCCATCTGTCCCCAGGAGGGAGTCAACTTGCTGGTGACCCCCCTTCTCACACATCCCGGGAACGCTGTTGGCTGATGCCTGGGCTTTCCTATGCTTTCCACCTGGGCAGGATGGCGGTGGCTGGGCAGCCCTCCTTTTGGGCTGGGAGGATGCTGAAAAGAAGCAATCCCTGTGCTTTCTCCCTTGGCAGAACCTCAAACTGGACCAAGGCAGGTGCCTATGGGTGGAACAGCAGAAACTCCTGGGTGTGTGAGCTGTATTTTGACAGGATTCATGATATCTACTGGGCACGGGTGAGAATGGTGGCCGGAGGTGAACAGTCCGAGTGGGCCAGTTCCAGTGAGCTACAGCTGTACAGAGACAGTAAGGACTGGGGAGCTTCTCCAGCTGGGCTCTTCCTGGGGGACTGAGGGGGAGAAGGGACCTTGGAGAGATCTGATGGGATACAGTGGGAAAGCATATTGGGATACTGGAGGGAAAAGAGTCAAGAGCCCTAACCAGAGGAAAGGGATGAGGCAGAGCTGCTGGAGGATAGCTGGGTAAAGAGCAAAAGGACAGAGGAGAGAGACACAGTGAGGTGATTGGTAGGAGGCCCCAGGCCAGCAAGGCACCATGAGAATTTGGGTCTCTGGGGAATGCAGTGAGATGGGGCAGGAAAGAGGATATGCCTCCGGGCTTGGCTTTTAAAAGGCTCATCTTTCTCCCCTGTCATGGTCTGGGATGAAGCTGGTGCAGACAGGTGCAGGCAGGGGCAGACCCTCTGGTGATCCATTCATCCTGACTATTGTGTTTGCCTGGTGTGGGAATGTGCCTCTTCTCAGTCACAGACTGGCTGTTCTATCCAAAAAACCTAGCAGTCTCTTGGAGCTAGAAAATTTTCAGAACCCTCCTCTGACCTCCATCAGAGGGGTTGTTGCAATAAACAGAATGTGTAAACTAAATGGGTTCCATGTTGGAGGTTTGTGTTTCCTTGTTCATTCCCTCCAACTGGCATGGAAGTGGGTGCATTCAGTTAGAAAGTGATTGCTTGCCTTGGCAGTGGGGTCTCCAGACCCTGGTGGATGGCTCAGGGGTGAAGGTCTCAGCAGAGGGAGCCGGTGGTGCCACAGGTCTGTTGGTGTGAAGAGGAGGCAGAAGCGGTGCTAGCTGTCATGAAGCTGCCATTCCTAGAGCTGGTTTCAGAGCACAGAATGCCATCAGGCAAGACCCGAGGAGCTTCTGTGCTCTGACAGGGGAATGTCAGACAGAAAAATATAATTTCTAGAGAAACAAGATGTCTGCCTTCCTTTGAAGGCCTTAATTTTCAATTTTTTCCCCTTCCCTACAGCAATTGTTGGCCCCCCCAAGTTGTCCTGGCTGCTCCAGGACCAAATCCTCAGTGTAAACATCATCACACCACCCACTCCCTACCAGAGAAGAACTGGTTCCTACAAGCCAGTCAACCAAGTGCTGCTGAAGCTGTGGTACTGGCTGCACCTGTACGAGGGGGACCTGCTTGTCCAGCAGGTATGTGTGGTAGCTGGGCAGGGCCCAGAAGTGCAGGACTTGCACAAGCTTTCCTGGTGCAGCAAAGCCACCATCTCAGGTTGCGGCGGTGTGCCTGTGCTGCAGCCCTGCCCACACCTGGCTGTGCATGCAGCTGTGAGGTGCTGTGCACCCCCAGTGTGGGGCCCCCACCTCAGCAAGGCAGGAGACCGCTTCCCTCCCTTGGGTGAGAAGAACTGGACTGGTTCTGTTCAAACAGATGAAAGGTGATGCCACAGGTGTTTCAGGAGATGCTCTGGAATGTGAACACCTCCTGGGGCAAAGAACGGAGTGTTGGAGGTGCCCGGGAGGAGGGACCATGGGGCAAGTGGGATGTTGGGGCTGCACAGAGCGGTGGAGCCATGCACAAACCCCACCTCCAGCTTCTGTGGCCACCCGATCCATCTGCTTTCAGGTGCCCTGCAAACGGAGCAGTAAGGAAGTGCCTTGCACCTTTGGGCACCTGAAGCCCAGCACACAGTACTGTGTCCGGACGGTGGCTGCAGACATTGCCAGGGAGCGGAGCCGGGAGGCTGAGCAGTGCCTGGTGACTCCAGCAGGCCCTTCAGGTGGGAGGACTCTCACCAACTCAGCTGGCATGGTTGCATCTCAGGTCCTGCTCACAGCACAGACGTGTGTTGAGGTGTGAATACCTCACCCTCAGCCACTGTGGTCAGCGTTGTGGCCCAGTGCTGCCCAGTGGGGAGCTCTCATGGCGATGCTTTTTTGTCATCTGCCTTGGGCTTGCCTCCTGAAACATCCCAGTGTGATGTGGATGGGAAACACTGATAGAGGGTGGGGTGGGAGAGATGTGTTTGAGTGACCCCTCAGCCTGCTGTGACGTCCTGGCAGGCTTTCCATGGGTCCTTGCTGTCCTCAGTGCCTTCTTCCTGCTGCTGCTACTAAGTGTGGCCGGGATCTGCCTCATGCAGCTGTATGTCTTTCCCAGTCCTTCGGAGATGTGCCTCCCAAAAGCACTGGTGAGTGACAATCCTCCTCCAGCCTCCACCTTGTGTGTAGCCATAGCCAAGCCAGGGTTCCCTGAATCTGCAAGGGCTCAGCACCTCCTTTCCTCCAGCTCTCACATTACCAAGCCCATTTTGGTACCCAGATGCCTCCCCTGCTATCTGATCTACTGTCTCCCAAGGAGAAGGTACTGGTGGAGGGCATTGGCCAGCCATGAGTCACAGCAGAGGATGGGGTCTCAGGCAGTGCAGCCCTTGGTGTTCAGCATAGCTTGTCACAACCCCCTTGCTGGCAGGGCTTTGGCCAGCTGAGGCTGACCATGTCACTGCTTTTGTCCTTGCAGGCTCTCCAGAACAGTGAGCTGAGTGTGGCCATGCAGGTGCCTCCACTCCAGCCTGAGGAGGACCCGCTGGCCCTGCTCCTGCAGACTGTGCTCCCCTCCCACAGGCCATCCACAGCTGTGCAGGCATCAGCCACGGTTCCACAGCTTCTGCAAGGCCTTGTCCAGGATGTGAGTGGCTACTGTGCCAATGGGTTTGGCCCAAACTGCACTGAGGGAAGGCACCCATCCTGCAACCACAGTCAGCTGGGGCATGCCTTAGGTTCCCAGGTCCCCTCACAGCTGGAGAAGGATGGGGAGGCAGGTGATGGGGATGATTTGCCAGAGCAGCAGGTGCTAGTGGGACTGGCTGGACACAGCTACCTAGCTGACAGGGACAGCCAGTTACCTGAAATATGGCTCCCCCTGCACCTCCAGCTTTATTCTAAATGCCAGTGCCCAGTCCTGGGAGCAGGCAGCCACCTTCCTCTGCCCGTGCCAAGCAGAAGCTGCAGCCAGGAGTACCGGCAGGAGAGTCTCGGCACAGGCGGGCCCTGGGTCCGGCTCAGCTCCGTGCAGCTCCCGGCCAGTACGGAGGCAGAGGGAGGGCAGCGCCTCTGTGCTCCCCGGCCCCTGCGTGGCGGCGGGACTGAACCACAACGCGGTGACGGCACCGTGCAGCGAGGCCGCTCGGAGCAGGCAGAACCGCGTCTGCCCAGCCCCTGCCAGCTGCCCCCCTCGCCCCGCAGCGTCCTGCGGGCACTCGCCCTATCCGGCTACGAGCCCCGAGCCCCGTGCGGCAGCGAGCCACAGCGAGCCAGCTCCGGGCAGAGCCCAGGCCGCCTCCCGAGCTGTCCTAACCTGTGCTGCCGGGCTGGCCATGGGGCTGGGGCGGGCTCCCAAGGGCAGGCAGAGGCATATTCCGGGCACAGCCGCCAAGGATCCGCCAAGGACGGGCGGGACCCAGAGCTTTCATCTGGGTGCTCCTTAGACACAGCCTAAGGAGCATTGACCAACGCTGAACCCCCAAAACTCTTATCTAGAGATCTGTCTGTATGTGTGTGTATGGTACACTATCTATAGTAATGTAACACTGATATATACATGTATATTTATAAAGCTCTTTAGTGAAAATTGTTCAGGTTTTTACTTCTCTGGAAATATTGATTCTGGAGCTGTTTTTAAATATCACTAATTTATTCTAGAAAACTGGCTTCCCTATTCATTGTTTCTGTGTTACAGACCCAGCACGGCCCTTCCCTGTGCAGCAGTCAGGAAAGGCACAGGGTAAACTTGGGGTTTTCCAGGCAGAAAATTGCACCCACAATCTCTGTCTTGCTCTCCTGTGGGAAAAGACTGGTTTTTAGCACCATGGGATGCATTTATTATTCCTGCTGCTAGCACTGGGGTGATTTATGGCTGAGAAACCCTGCCCTGCAGTTGTCCCTTGGGATGTGTTTTGAGGCTGTGCCTGAAGCCACAGAGGCCAGGGGAAACCTCCTTGTGCTGTGTCGCAGGCTGGGATCAGTGCAGTCAAAATGTAACAAATGCAACAAAATGTGACAAATCCAGGCTCTTGGACTCACTAAAATTACTCTGGATCTGGGAACAGGTGAGAAACTGATGTCTAGTGTCCAGGCAGCTGGTGGAGGGGATGGAGGTACAGTGCTGCCAGTCTTAGGGAGCCTTTGGGGCTGTGCAGGGCCATGTTCCAACACTGTGAGTCACTCCCGGCACCCCAGCCATGCTCCATCCCTGCCTTGTACTGCAGGCTGACCCCTGTAGCCCACAAGTATTGGAGTGTACCAATGTTACAGACTTGGACTGCCTTGGTCTGTCTGGCCTCGCTGCTGACCAAACAGCGGCACCTGTGCTCCTCCCTCCCCGGAGTCGCTGTTCAGTACCTGTGGTCTCAGCTGGGCACGTGGGGACAAGTCGGGCATGCCCCGAGCTCCAGAGCTGGCGGGTGGAGCTTGCTGCTGAGGGGGGCACTCCTCAGGCCTCCCTGAGCTGGAGAAACCTTTGAGGCGAGGTGAAGAAAGGAGCGGGTCCTGATGGAGAGTTTTTAATCCAGAGTTTTTATTTTGGTGGCACGGCCTCTGAATCTTGCAACAACTCCACTGAACTCTCCCACCAGAACTCTCCACCAGAACCCCAACTGCGTGCTCTGCTTGCCCCTTTACCTGGGGAGAGGAGCAGGGGAGGGGACCCAGGGAGAACCAACCAGGCACAGGGGGAGGTGATCTCAGGTGAGAGGGACACCTGGGAGCGCCAGTGACCCCCCAGGGGGTGGAGAGCATCCTCTGAACCTGCCAATTGCTCAACGCTCTCCTTGGTATTTCTGGGTTGATAGACAATGCCCAGCAGGGATCAAAGGAGAGGTGATTGACAGCTCACCTGGGGAAGGAAACTTCAGGGAGGAACCAGGGGAAACCGAGGCAGGTCATGACATCACACCGCAACACACAAGAGTCCATGAGGGAGCAGAGATTCACCTGCAGTTCAGGGAGGACCCTATACCAGATGCCCAAAGGAGGCCATGACTGTATGGGAAGATCATGACTGGAGCAAACTCCTGGCAGGCAGGACCTGTGGCCCCATGGAGAGAGGAGCTCAAGCTGAAACAGTTTTGCTAAGGGGATTGCGACCTCCTAGGGAGAATGATAGAGCAGCTTGGGGATGTGTCTGGCATCTGGCCCAGGTCAATCTCTCTCAGTCGATGTGTGGACATGTCACGTATTGAAGAAATTGAGCTGAATTAACACAAAAAAAAAGGAGAGTCCCAAGAGCTGTTTGAGGAACACATGTATCACCCATATGCTTTTTTTCTACCTATGAAGTTGATGTCCAATTTCTATCTCCTTTGTCCCTCACACTGTCTGATCTGCCTCAAGGTCATGGTCAAGCCCTACACACCTGCAGCCCTGTTTGATCAATTGCCTCATCCCTATAGCCCACAGAGCCTCCAACCCCACCCCACTCTGGAAGGTCACTGCATGGTCCCAGGCAAGGCACCTCTTAGCAGGAGCATCAGTCAGAGCTGCTGTTTGTGCCAAGGCTCTGGGCAGGAGCCACATCCCAAGCAGGAGCTTGTCCAGGCCCAGTAGAGTGTCCATCATGTTGCTCCAGCCCGGTCCTGGGTGGTTTGCCAGGACATTGGACCAGTGCAATGGGACCAGACTGGCTCCACAGCTGCTGTGTTGTGGGAGCTGGGCTTGCACTGGGGCACGACCAGTGCTCTGATCACAGCTGGCCAGGTCTCTACAGGTCTGAAGAGGACCAGCTCTTTCCTGAGTCTGTGGCTGGACAAGGGTGCTGGCATCCCCATGGGTGATTTAGGCAGTCACTCACTGGCAGCAGGGGCTTGCCCTGGCCCAGGGGTGGTTGGACAACTGGAATGTTCCCAGTCATATAAAAGAGTTGTTCATGGGGAGTGGAAAAAGACAGAAGGGTTGAGACATTTCAAGATGCCATCAGCAGCTGAAGTTTCCGAGTGGATGCAAGAGGGGGTTTCTGCTTTGCCTCAGAGATGCGAGTAGCGTGTGGGTTTCTGCAGAACCTCAGAGAGAAAGTGCAACATTCGCTGCAGGGTGAGGTCCCGGCATGTCCCAGGAGAGACCTGTCACCATTATGTGCAGCACGTGGCCTGGGTGGAGTGTCTGAATTAGATCCCACTTTCATCTACCTGGCAGGCTGTTTTGTGCTGAACAGGACTGGACTGTGCTGGAGGATGGACTTGGGTCAGGGGTAAGCCCCCAGCCCTGGGTAAGATGTCAGCCCCAGGCAGGTCTGTGCAGGACACCAGAGCAGTCCCTCCATCACCACTGCAGCCTCAGTCATGTGCATACAGCGGGGTCCTCCCTTAGCATTCTATACTCCCTCCACAGCCTGGAAAGGGCTGAGCCAGCGACTGGGCCTTAGGCACCCAGCCCACCCTAAGCACCATCATCTTGGAGGTCAGATGCCATCTCTGGTGCTGGCCTCAGGCCCACAGCACAGCGCTGTGGCTGCAGGTACAGGTGCGGGGGCTGGTAAAAGCTCTGACTCACCACGATCTATCCCCTGTTCCTTCTCTCTGTGGTGTTTTCACATTCTGCTGGTGCCAGATCAAAGCAAAAAGTGAGATGCTACTGCAAACAGCTCTTTATTAGAAACAGTGGGTTTAGGACTGTGCAAGAGTGTATTTCTTATTACTAATTCTCAGAGAGCAGAGCTGCCAGCCTTTGAAAATGGTGCACAGTGGAAAATTGCTCTTTGAGGGCTAATGGGGCTTTCACAGTCACTGAGTGGGAACCATTGTACCTGACAACCATGAGAGATGTGGTGGCCCCTGAAATGATGGGGGGAAATCAAGCTCTTATATTTTGTGGGCTGCCAGTACCCAGGACCATCCCCATGAGCCTTTGGGAGGCAGAGCTGCAGGGTCTGCCCTGACCCTGTGGCCACTCTGCTCTGTCTGCTTTCTCTCCTGCCTGTCACTGCAGCTGCCCTGACCTTCTCTGGGACAGCCCAAAGCCACCCCAACTCCTCACAGCCACCTCAAGTGCTGTCCAGCACATCTGTGTATATAGCAAAGACCTGGGACCCCACTAAGGCCCTGTCACTCAGCCTCCATCTGCAAGTTGCCTTTGTGATGGATCTTTAGCTCTAGATAGGTCCCTGAAGCAGCACAGAGCAGCAGCATCACAGCTGTTCTGCTGGACCCCATCCTTCAGACCTGAAAGGCTTTGTGGGCTGACAGGTCTGAGCTGCAACATCTAGGCCACTGAGTCCTGCTGCACCTCCCTCTCGGTGGTCTCAGCTGCTTGCCTTGGTTGGGAAGCTGACCAGGATGTGGGTGAGGACTGTGAGAAACCCAGAAGCTGGAGCCTGAGTGTGGTATGTTTAGAGGATGTGCATGAAAAGGGCTGCAGAGCTGACAGGCTGCAGAGAAGTGAATTTGGTGGCTCAGAACTGTGTGGTTTCTCTTCAGGCAGGAGCTTTCCTGCAATTCAGTGGATTGGGACCCAAGAAGGGTGATTGGGACGTTCAGGTCACCCCAGGGTCCTGTAGAGCAAAACTGGTCCTACTTCATGTGCTGGTCTGGGTGTGCCCTCATCTGGGGATGCGTGGCAATGTCTGCACTCAGAAGGTGCCAAGGGCACCCTGACAGAGTCATATACCTCCTAGCTTGGTCACCAGGTCTCCTTACTCTGCAGGACAACTGCCCCTGTGTTGTCCTCACCACTCACCACTGCTCTTCTCGGGGTCTGTGACATATGGCCAGTTCCTGTGCTTCCCATCCTTCAGATGCACAATAGGGGATTTCTGGTTCTGCAGCCTATGGGAACGGCAGCTCAGCTCAACACTTTCCCACTTCCTGACACTGCTCCAGTAGCTCTCTGCCCCCTAGGATCATTCATGCTCCTGGTGACAGACAGGACCACCAAGCTGCCCTCTGAGTTGGGTGCATATTGGCTCACGATGCACTCTGAGCGGGGGGGGAAGGGGGGTGGCATTTGTGCTTCATCCTCATGGCACCACAGCAAATGGCATGAGCCTGTCTCCAGGATTTTTCATTCTGTGACATGAAACCTGGCAGGATTTTGATTTTTTCCATCTGATTTCCGTCTGACTTTTTTCCATCTTCTATTTTCCAGAGGATGGAAAACAGGCTAGATACAGATTTTTGTTAGGAGAAAAGTCCCAGCTGTGTGGCATGCCCAATTGAAATGGATGATAGCTTCACCTCAGCAGTTTCCCAGTTGTATCCATGCCTGACAGATGGGGACTGGCAAACAGAGGTAACCAATGATCTCTGGATAATGCACCTTCAACCACTCCATGAGAAATGAGAGCCTCTGTTTTGTGGTCAGCAGGGTCACAGTCAGTCTTGTGATTAAACAATAGAGGCTCAGGCTGCTCATCATCCTGTCCTGTCTACCTCAAGAAAGTCCCAGTGTGATGTCCTACCCCATAAGATGAGAGGACACAATAGACTGAGAAACATGGATCTCATGCCAAGACTTCAGAGGGACTTTCCATGTGGCACCTATGAAGCAAGCACTGTTCAACCTGTCTGAGCCCCAGTCTCAGTGCAGGTAGGGAAAGGCACAAAACAAGTTGCCCTGTCTCCTCTCCTCCATGACACCTCAGGATTTTAAGCTCTTGAAAATTTAAAATCTTCTTCTGCCTGTCA